CGAGACTCAAAGGGGGCAAGAGTGCTCATAAGCCACCATGGCTCACCAAAGGCATTCAGGAATGTCTGAAAGCTAAAAAGGAGGCATACACCTGGTGGAAGGGAGGGGCTATCACCAAGGAGGATTATACCTCCGTTGCTCAAAACTGTAGGGGGGCTGTTAGGAAGGCTAAGGCGGAGACGGAACTAAGATTAGCGACCAGGGTCAAAGTTAACAAGAAGTCCTTTTTTAAATACATAGGGAGTGAAAAGAAGGCACCGGGTAATGTGGGGCCCCTGCAGGACACATTTGGCAATCTGGTGGGTGCACCAGACGAAAAAGCTGACCTTTTTAACAAAATCTTTGCCTCCATTTTTCTGAGCAGGGACTGGGACATCACCCCCATCCCTCTGGGATTCCGGACAGACTCAGGAGAGGCACTGCCAGGCCTAGGGTCAGGAAGGACCTAGTTGGGGATCTTCTGGTGGGACTGGACGTGTTTAAATCAGCAGGTCCAGATGATCTCCACTCCAAGGTGCTGAGGGACTTGGCAGGGGTCATTGCAGGGCTCCTGGCACAGCTTTACGAGCACTCGTGGTGCTCTGGCCAGGTGCCAGAGGACTGGAAAAGGGCCACTGTGGTCCCCATTTTCAAAAAAGGGAGGAAGAAGAACCTAGGTAACTATAGGCCCATTAGTCTTACCTTGGTTCTGGAGAAACTCTTCGAGAAAATTATCCAGGAGCACATCTGTGAGGGACCAGCAGGGGAGATTTTGCTCAGGGGCAACCAACATGGGTTCATTAGGGACAGGTCCTGTTGGATCAACCTGGTTGCCTTTTACGATCAGGTCACAAAATCCTTGGATGCAGGTGTCGCGGTGGGCGTAGTCTTTCTGGACTTCAGGAAGGCCTTTGACACTGTCTCTCACCGCATTCTCATTAAGAAATTAGGTGACTGTGGCATTGATGCCTACATGGTCAGATGGGTCGCAAATTGGCTAGAGGGCCATACCCAGAGAGCGGTGGTGGATGGGTCATTTTCATCCAGGAGGGATGTGGGGCAGTGAAGTCCACCAGGGCTCGGTCCTCGGTCCCGTACTGTACAACATCTTTATCAGCGACTTGGATGAGGGGGTGAAAAGCACGTTGTTCCAATTTGCAGATGACGCTAAGATGCGAGGAGAGATGGGCAAACTAGAAGAGAGGGACAGGCTACAACTAGATCTGGACAGGTTATAAGGGTGGGTGGATGAGAATAGGATGGGATTCAATACTGATAAGTGCAGGGTACTACACCTGGGGAGGAAGAACCAGCAGCATACCTATAGGCTGGGGAACTCCCTTCTCGTCAGCACAGAGGCAGAAAGGGGTCTTGGAATTATTATTGATTCCAAGATGAACATGGACCACCAATGTGAGGATGCGGTCAGTAAGGTGCATCACAAGCCGGTCCAAGGAGGCGATCCTCCTCTTCTATGCTGCGGTTGGAGTACTGCATCCAGTTTTGGGCACCTTGCTTCAGGAGGGATGAGGACAGTATTGAGAGGGTCCAGAGGAGGGCCGCTTGCATGGTCAGTAGGCAGCAGGGCAGGCCTTACAAGGAGAGGCTACAGGACCTGAACCTGTTCAGCCTCCACAAGAGAAGGCTGAGGGGGGATCTGGTGGCTGTCTATAAACTTACCGGGGGGACCAACGGGGAATGGGTGAGTCCCCATTTCCCTGAGCACTACCAGGAGTAACTAGGAATAATGGCCACAAGTTGATGGAGAGTAGGTTCAGGCTAGACATCAGGAGGCACTACTTCACAGTCAGGGTGGCTAGGATTTGGAACCAACTTTCAAGGGAAGTGGTGCTCGCTCCTACCTTGGGGGGTCTTCAAAAGGAGGCTAGATAATCACCTAGCCGGGGTCATTTGACCCCAGCATTCTTTCCTGCCCATTGCAGGGGGTCGGACTTTATGATCTTCTCAGGTCCCTTCTGGCCCTACCAACTATGAAACTATGATACTAGTTCCATCTCCACCTTCAAACACTGCCCTTCAGGTTTTTGAAGTCTGCTATTAAATTTCCCCCTCAGTGTTCTCTTTTCTACTCGTAACTAATTCCGGTTCCCTCAGCCAATCTTGATAAGGCATGCTCCCCAGCGCTCTAACCATTTTCATTGCTTTCTGCTGGATTCTCAAACTTGTCCACATGCTTTCTGTAGCGGGGGGCCCAAAGCTGAACATAATACTCCAGATGGGGCCTCACCAGTGCAGAATAGAGGAGAAGAATCGCATCCCTTGATCTGCTGGCGGTGCTCCTACTAATGCAGCCTAGTATGCCAATAGCCTTCTTGGCAACAAGTGCACACTGGCTCATACTCAGCTTATTGTCCACTGTAATCTTAGGTCATTTTCTGCAGAGCTACTACTTAACTGGTTGGTCCCCAGCCTGTGCTGGTGCATGGGATTGTTCCATCATATGTGCAGGAATTTGCATTTGTCATTAATGAACTTTGTGAGATTTCTTTTTGGTCCAGTCCTCTAATATGTCTAGGTCTCTCTGAGTCCTATGCCTATCCTTCAGCATATCTACTACTCTCCCCAACTTAGTGTCATCTGCAAACTTGCTGAGGGTTGTATATGAAGATATTGAACAAAATTGGTCCCAGGACTGAACCCTGGGGCACTCCTCTTGATACCAGCTGCCAACTAGACATTGGCCATTGATTTATTACCTTTTTGATCATGACAGTTCAGCCAGTTTTCTATCTGCCTTTCAGTCCATTCATCCAGCCTGTACTTCCTTAGCTTGCTTGTGAGAATGTTGTGGGAAATCATATCTAAAACCTTGCTAAAATCAAGTTATGTAGATTCATAGATGTTTGGGTTGGAAGGGACCTTAGCAGATCATTGAGTCTGAACCCCTGCCCTGGGCAGGAAAGAGCGCTGGGGTCAGTCAGCCCCAGCTAGGTGCATGTCCAGCCTCCTTTCAGAGACCCCCAAGGTACTGGAGAGCACAACCTCCCTTGGAAACCCATTCCAGATTCTGGCATCCCTTACCATAAAGAAGTTCTTCCTGATGTCCAGCCTAAATCAGCTCTCTGTCAGTTTGTGACCGTTGTTCCTAATTACTCCAAGGGGGGTGCTCTGGTAAACAGAGCATTTCCTATTCTTTGCTGGGTTTTGTTGTTATATCCATTTTTTGGAAAAGGGAAGACTGGGGTATAGGATTTGATAATGATCTTTAAAAACCTAAATAAGATGGGCTATTTTTCGTGGCCACTGTTGAGAGAACTAGGAACAATTCCCAGATTCCAGCCTGGGAATATAGATTGGACATTAGAAGGAAAATTCTTCCTGTGAGGGTGGTTAAGCATTGGAAGAGACTGCCCAAAGAGGTTGTAGAGCTTCCATCCTTGGATGTTTTTAAACAGTTTACTTGACAGGGATAATAATTAGGGGTGATCTTGCTTTGAGCAGCAGGTTGGACCAGATCAGGACGGTCTAACTCGGGCGGGCAGTTATTTTGGGTGGAGGGCTGCTTACCGAGTTTTGGGTAGTTCTGGAGGGCCATGTGGGTAGCCCCACGTCTTGACAGTTGCCCTGCCCCTGGTCACCATATTGGAGCCAGAAGTCCTGCTCGGGGCCCCCCCCTTTTCCCCCCCGATCTTTGCCACCGGAAGCCCCTCCCCTTGCCCTGTATTCCTTTTGGGAGGAAGTGGTATAATCTTGAAATCAGAAAAACCCCCAAATCATATTTAACCAATTCTTCACCTCCGTTTTCTTGTGCAGGGACCGGGACTTCCCTGCTGTGATAGAAGCCGGACTCGAGGGGATCGCCTTCAGACCTCAGGTTGGGGAGGACCGGGTTAGAGAGCTTCTGGAGGGGCTGG